AAAATAGAAACTCCAAACCTTCAACCAACCATGCACCCAAGGGTCCTGATAATAGCGTTTTAGGGCCCAAAGACCATTCGCATTCTAGTAAACAACCTATTATTTGGGTCCTTGGACCGTTAGGGGTAATGAGCTTCCATAAGCCAGGGTCCCTGCCTAGAGGTTCCCATGCTAAGTATACTACTTGGACCCCAAAAGTATGTGAAATAATGGCCTTGATGACTGTTATTATGGGTTTAGGGCTATTCTTTTACATACTTTTGGGGTTTAGGTAGTATTCAGCAGCTCTTCAAGAAGGATCCTGGATTTTGGAAATGCCCAAATTGAGCCGAGTGTCTCCCGGTTCGCGGGTCGGGTCGTAGGTGTAGAGGCCCTTCTCCTTTAGGGTTTGGGGTTTAGGCTTTAAGGTTTGGGGTTTAGGGTGTTGTCAGCAAAACTGTCGCGTTGGCCTCATCATGGCAAGGATGAAAAAATTGACTGTAATGCACCTTAAGTTAGGGTCACAATACTAGCCCTCCCCCAAAAAAATAGTATCACCCAAGATCTAAAGCCTTCTTCGGCCTGATTAAGCACCATATCGTCCTTAGCAGCTCCTTAAACCCTGGGGCTACCTTTTGAGAGAATGGCATTACGATCTGTAACCTTGCGTCCTGCGAAAGCAGGTAGACATTGGATACCGCCCCCACTCAGTAACAGTTGGATCATGAAGATAATTATGGTTAGATATAGCCCCTGATAGGACCCCTAATATAGACTGTTACTGGGAGGGGGCAGTACCCAAGGTAGACATATGTGCTAGGCTACAGCCATGCAGAATGCAACCGGGACGTGGCTTTAGGTCCCCTTTTACCCTGTAATAGTGGTATATTAAGAGGACCCCCCACCCCACCCTGTAATAGTGGTATAATATTATTATAAGAGGACCCTAATATAGTCCTTATTATCCATAGTGGTCACTATTACTTGGTGCGGGGTCCACCTAAGTGGTATACTAGGAATATGAGGACCCTAGAATAATTACCATTATCCCTCATAGTCACTATTAATGGGTGGGGGGGGGGGGGTCCACCTAAGCCATAACCCAAAAAAAGATTGCGTGGTACTTGCAAGGCGCCTTTGAAAGCGATAAGGGAAATTCGTCAAATGATACAAACTGCCGCCGAGTTCATGACGAAATCCTACACTGAGTCATACCCACGAGGAACCGTCTTTCCGGTAAAAAACTAATACCTGAAACTGTAAGGTATGTAAAACGCCGACCCTTTGGGCTGCTTTTGTAGGGGTTTTGGGCCAGGATTACACCTACTTTGCGGTTTGGTTTAGGTTTTTAAGGGCTTAGGTTGGGTACTGCCCCCTCCCAGAAACAGTCTATATTAGGGTCCTATTAAGGGCTATATATAACCATATTATAATTATTGTCCAACTGTTACTGAGGGGGGGCAGTACCCAAGGCTTAGGGTAGGAAGGAGTTCCTCATGATTGTACCCGCATGTTGCATTTCCCCTGGCTCGAAGTCTGCAGAGCCGCTTTAGTTTGGTAGCAGGATGAAACACATATACCTAAACCCTAAAAGTATGTAAAATAATGGCCTTTATGGCTATTATTCTGGGTTTAGGGCTACTATGTTACATACTTTTGGGGTCCAGGTAGGGGTTGCCCAAGATTGGGGAAGAGAAAGATTATAGGATGATAGGTTAGGTGGACCCCCCACCCAGTAATGGTGACTATTATGAACAATAAGGATTATGTTAGGGTCCTCCTGTATTCCTATTTTACCACTATTACAGGGTAGGGGGTCCACCTAAATGATAGGTTCCATGTTGGGGCCCTAAACCCTAAACCCTAAACCCCGCTATTGATGGAAACAACTGCATGCAGAGACTTCAGCAGCAGCTCGAACGCAGGGAATTTGTCAGGGTTCAGGGTTCAGGGTTTAGGCTTTAGGGTTTAGGCTCAAAAGCAGCAAGGTATGGCAAGCGTGAGAAGACTGTCGTCGGTATGTCTGAACGTTTAGTGCCATAGCTTCACAAGATCTAGAAGTGGCAGGCCCAGCAACAATACCAACAATAAACAAAACAACCTCCAGCCCTGTTTGGGGTTTAGGGTTTAAGGCAAACTGAACAGCTGAGACTCCACAAGGCCCAAGAACAGGAAGATCTGAGTCCAGCCGGCTGCTGGAACCTGCCCAGGAGGTAGAATTGAAAAACATGAGAGTTTATCTGAGCCATAGTCTAAACTCCTAGTATCCCCCTTGATATCCCCTATAGTAGTTCCTTATATAATCCCCTAGATATTCCCCGTAAAAAGGAGTTTAGACTATAGTTTTATCTCAGATCTGCTGAAGCACATTGAATGAGGCGTTGGTCCTGGGGACCCTTAACTCTAAATCCTAAACCCTAAATCCTAAACCCTAAACCACTAAACCCTAACCCTAAACCCCTAAACCCCTAAACCCTAAACCCTAACCCCTAAACCCTAAAACCTAAACCCTAAACCCCTAAACCCTAACCCTAAACACCAGAGTTTAGGGTTCAGGGTCTGCGGCGGTGTGTCACGATCTTAGCCCAACCTCGATCCCGGTTGGCGTTTGGGGCTCAGATGAGTAGCGTCTTTTTGGTGATTGAACCTAGTAAGATTATATTCCCTGTATAAAACACTATACCCCAAAAGGAGGATATAATCTTACTCTATATTGGGTACCATAATGCCCCCAAATAAAATACTACTCAGATTCTACTGGAACCGCTTATCTTGCTGGTTTGGTTCTTACTAGGGAGTATGGGAATATGATCCCTATATAGTCCCACATAGTACCTACACAATTTATTATGTAGGGACTATATGTGACTATATAGGGAATATGGTTTTGTGATCCCTATATAGTCTCTATAGGATATATTCCGATAATCCCTGCTAAGTCCCAGTAAGTTATAGTCCCCCTTAAGTAGATAGAATATGGAGTATATGGGGATCTTATTATTATACACCCAAAGCCATATTCTATCTACTTAAGGGGGACTATAACCCTAAACCCTAAATCCTAAACCCTAATCATTCGTTAAATCTACTTAAGGGGGACTGTTACTAGCAAACATCACACCATCACTTGAACGTTAATGACAGCTGCCAGATTATATGACAGGCCTAGGGGAGTTTAGGGTTTAAGGCTTAGGGCTTAAGGTTAAGGATTTAGGGTTTAAGGTCTAGGATTTAGGCTTTAAGGTCTTGGGTGTAGGGTTTAAGGTCTAGGGTTTAAAGTTTAGGTTTAGGGCTTAAGGTTTTTAGGGAATGAGGGAATACTTTATATAGGCATTATATAGGGATTATCTTCCCTTTTTCCCTCCTAGCCACCAGTACAGTCAGGTAAAGCTCATCTCGAGGGTAGCTATCTTATCTGAACTCTATATATGGGTGGTTGTCAAAATTATGATCCCTTTTTGGGTACCCTAAATATCAGGTGCCGCACTTTAATAGGGATCCAAAAAGGGACCATAATTTTGACAACCACCCATATCGATTCCGTGACTACACCGCCCTTTATGCTGGCTCCACCGAGGTTAGCCCTGAAAAAAGTGGAGCCCATGGGGGGGTTAGGGAAAAAGGGGTTTAGGGTTTAGGGGTTTAGGGTGTAGGGGGGAGGGGGGGGTAGAGGAAACCCATCAAATGTTTATGTAGCTGTGTGGCAACACTACACAGAGAATGAAGGCCTAAACCCTAAACCCTAAACAGCATGGTGGAGGCTGGGCAAGGTCACCCGGGTAGAGTCCCCTATTTAGGGTTTAGGGTTTCCGCTTGAAACCTGGCGCGAAACAAGAGTTGTACAAAAGCCTCACAGCAACCCTGAAAGAACTATAAACATTACCCCCAACCATGAAACATGTCTTGCCTCATCCCTGATAATTCCGCATCCTTCCCACATCCCATACATCCCTAAAGCGTTTTCTGACTTCATCCCGGCTACCTTCCCCGTCTTGAACCCTAAAGCAGCAGCCTTGTTGGCCCCTGTACTTCCACATCCGGACAAAGCGCGAAGCACATGGAGAATTCCTTTCAAACCTGTACTAAACCAAAACGTTGTTGCTTGCAAAATCGTATCGAGGCCCCCTTTCCAATCCTCGGATGACCTACACCCTAAACCCTAAACCTTAATCCCTAAACCCTAAACATGCCATCTGGGCAGAAAGTCCCACCTCGCCCCTGAACCAGTTCCTTCTTGCCTAAGCCCTAAAACCCTAAACCTTATGTGGACCCCCCACCCAGTAATGGTGACTATAAGGGATAATAGGGATGATGTTGGGGTCCTCTTATATTCCTATTATACCACTATTACAGGGGGGGTCCTCCTAACCTAAACCCTACATAGTAGATTCCATTCTCTCTTGCATTATCCCTATATAATAACCCCAATATACTACAGTAATATCCATTTTCTTTTCCATTATCCCCATATATAGTCCCCTTAAGTAGATAGAATACGGGGTATATGATATATGGGGATCTTAGTATAATCTACCCAAAGCCATATTCTATCTACACCTCAAAACACATACGTTTAGGGCTTAGGGTTTCCCAAAACTAGGAGTACCTTCAGAGGGGTTTATAGGGGATATATATGGATAATGGAAAAGAAAATGGAAACTACTATTTAGGGTTTAGGGTTTCCCAAGATTAGGAGACCCCTTTTGGGGGTCCCCATCATAAGGACTATAGTATTTTGGGGTCTATATTGGAGTCCCCTTATATTAGGAAACTACCATGTTTCCTACTCCGATGGGATAATGGAACATAAAACGGAAACTACTATAGTACATTGGGGCTATATTGGGATAATGGAAAAGAAAAGGGATACTGCTATAGTATATACACGATCCAAGAAAAGGAAACAACACCTTCACAATTCCAACGCCCAGATCTTAGCGTACACTTCCTGAATCCTAAGGCCATAAGATTCGACGCCTGTAAACCCTGAAACCTCAACCCGCAACCGTAAACCGCCTGGCCTTGCTCAGCGCCGCCAGGCCGTTCGGGATGTCGGTGAACTTCAAACCGGCAGTCGGTGAGCAGTATCCTACTTGCCACTTTTGGGTCGGTTCTTCTCACGAATTACAGGAACATGAATGAGATCTGTTAACACTTAACAGTGTATATATATATATACATAAGACCCATTAGAGTAATGTCCATTATATTTTCCATTATCCCAATATATCCCTATAAACTCCAGAACTCTAAACGCTAAACCCTATAGTAGTTTTCATTTTATTTTCCATTATCCTGATATAACCCCAATAAAGCCTAAAGCCTAAGCCCTGAAGCCCAATATAACCCTGAACCCCATGACAAGAGTGAGCGACTCGAAGGATGTTAATATGGGGGCCTGAATAATTACCAATAAGGCTTAGGGTTTAGGGTTTAGAGGCCTAAATAAGTACCAATGTAATTTTGAGGTCCATTTGAGGTACCCTATACTATAACAGTACAAGGAATATGGAACCATAATATTGGTAATTGTTTAGGCCCCTATATTGCACTAAGTGGTCGGCAAAGGCAGACTTTGCATCTCACTGACGCAAACATATTGCAATAGACCCGTGCTTACAAGAGTTTTGTGGACTTTGCGTTCCTCAACTAGCGTGCCCACTTGTCCCGGATCTGATAAGATCGCAAACACCAATCTGAATTCCCCACCCCCAAACATGCACATTGTACCCAATTTGAATCTTCATGAATCTTCAGTCCAGGCTGATTAACTGACGGAGGACGCACAACAATGAGAACAGTCTGACTCGCAGGTCTCAACAACGATTCGTACGAACATGGAGGAATGGCTTTGTTGCCAACAACCAAAGTTTGCACAAGCAAGAAAAACCTGATCTTCGCTTGCTGGCTATGTGGCCTTTGATGGGCCAACTTGAGCCCAATTTTGCCCTCAACCCTAAACCCCACACCCTAAACCCTAACCCCTAAACCCAAAACCCCAAACCCCAAGCACAATTTCATCTGAAGGATAAAACTACTGGCTGGTGCAACCGGTGCAGTCTAAACGATCCCTAAGGGTCCATGTATCCAATAATTTGGTACTTGGGTTTGGGGTAATAGTAATTATAGTACAGGTTCTGGGTAAGTATATCATTATTAGGTACTTGGACCCTTAAGGGATCCGACCCTAGACGCACAATTTGGAATTCGTACTACCGCACTTGTCTGTACCGTCCCCAAAAAGAGGGAATATGAGCTGAACAACTACCCTGAACCTTAAACCCTACGGCCCGAAAGTCCGCCCATGCAACCATCCCTGGTGATGCGGATGAATGCAATTTCTCCCACTACTTTTCGCTCAAGGTCCTGGGAAGCGGAAATACTCCGGCACGATGTAGCCTCGCAAGCAAAGACGTGTGGCTCAGATTTGGACGCCGTACGAAAGCGAAACAGTGAAACCCCAAACTACATCGAACCCCAAACACCTAAAAACCCATCTTTTAATTAACCCTAAACCACTAAGCCCATCCCTGAAACCCTAAACCCTAAACCCAACCCCTAAACCCGAAACCTCCAACCCTGTCACCCTGAAGCCTAACAGTCGCTTGGCAAACGGATCCTGAACATTCGAGTTTGTAGGGATATGGGAAAAGATAATGGAAACTACTACTACATTGGGGTTATATGGGGATAATGGAAAAGAAAATGGAAACTATGGGGTTGTGTAGGGTTTAATTTAAGGTGGTAATGTTCAGGGTTTAGGGAACACAAATTGGAAATCCCCCAAAAAGGTCCAACTTATTGTACACATACTTATGAGAAAATCATAGGAAGTCCTGCGCACACTGCGATGTTTTCTTAATTTCCTTACAAGCCAAGTGGCTGTTTCTTTGAACCATGAAAGGAACATAGAGCTGCAATCCTCTGCCCTAATCTTATATTAGTCTAAACCCTACGGTATCATGCTCCCCTATAGAATCATATAATCCCCTTTAAGCAGCTTAGACTACAGCTCATTTAAAAAATAATAGGGTGTGGAGTAATTCTTATGGATGGAGGGGGATATGTCTGGTTGAGACTGTGGATAGCCTGTCCTACCTCATCAGACTATTGACGATTCGTGCGGAGCCAGACTGTTGACGATTCGTGCGGAGTATGGTTTATTATTATATCACTACGATTACTATTGTATTACTGATATATCCTACTATACTACAAAGTACCAATGTATTACTACTATATTTTCACTATTAGATGCTTGTATTGCTATGAACGATGCTTGGAGTTTTTTGCATTAAACACCAAACGAATTGATCAAAATTCAACTTAGCGCCAAGAAACCCATGGTGGCCAACATTGCCACGCGGCCGTTCTTCAGCTCCTGGTAAACCCCCGAAACCCTGTATCTCAAACCCGAAACCACTGTTACAGGATTGGGGGGTCCACCTTCTCCACCATGCAAGACAGTAAAACCTGCCCTGAGAAGGCCTTTTAAGGCTAAGAGTCTAGGGTTTCCGGATTGGGGTTGAGGGTTTGGTGTTCCACAATTCCCAACTTTAAACGAGGGGAATGCCTATACCTGAAGATGCCCGAAGGTATGTAGACCCTAAACCCTGAACCGCGTGGGGCTTTCGGGTTGTCTTTTAAAGGAGGGTGCTGGGCCATGACCTATCTGACATTGAGGGCTATCTCTAAATGGGACCCGGCAAAAAGCAGATGGTCGTAGTCTTTGGGTGATATTGGGGTTATATTGGGATCGTGAAAAAAAGGGAAACTACAATAATAATTATATAGGGGTTATATAGGGATTATACTCGGGGGCTGGGGTATCAATTTCCCTTATTACATTCTCCCCAGCCGTCAGCCCTAACCCCGAAACCCTAAACATTAAACCCTAAACCCTAGACCCCTAACATCTAAAACCCAGAAAATCCCGAAAACTCGCCTTGACTCGTCCCGTTTTCACTTTGGTTGCCTTAATGTAAACCCATGATTAATAGACCCCCTCCTTTTAAAGGCCTTCATATTAGGATCTCTACTATAATCCCTATCAAGGGGAGGGGGTTTATTCATCAGGGGTCTGGGTTAGGACTGTACATTGTCCAAATGTATTCTTTAACCCCCAAGTCTGAAGGGATATGGTCATGCACGCGCACATCTAAAGCTCTCCTCTATAGCTCATCGGCGCGCCCTTAAACTTTCAAAGCCAAACTCAAAGCTTAGAAGCCAAAAACCCTACACCCTTAAGCCCCAGCGTGCTGGCTCCATACCATGACTATGAACTTTCCAGCCCTCAGACCCTAAACGGTAAAGCCCTAAACCTTCAACCCTCAAATCCTAAACCCAAAAAACGCTCCGTAGTGCGGCGGCGCTTGAAGGCCTCCACGTCACCGTCCTTTTTGTTGTTTAGGGATCTGCGAGTTTCTGCAAACGAGGGCGCCTCCCTTATCCAAAACAACTGAGAACGTACTGATTATGACATATTTGTTTTCGGGGCTTAAGGTTTTGGTTGGGCGGCGGCGCTGAAATCTTAATTTCAAAATTCAGCGTCTGTAAGGCGCCAGAATTTATTTGTTGGTTCTTGGGATTTAAAGATTCGTGCAGGATTATGGGGCAAAAAAGAATGATGCATTGTTTCCTTGACTTTTGGGCGTGTGCCGCCATGGGCCTTTGGAATTATGGATTGCAGGCTGCAATGCAGGCTTAGCTCGAACTTGGTACCATGGCCATTGGACTCCGTACTCGCACTTCCCTGCCCCAAGGATCCTAAGTATCTATACATATGAGCTATAGTCAAAACTCCTTAAGAAGGGGAATATAGCGGAGTATATAGGGGACTACTATCGGGGTTATTAAGCGGGATTTTAGGAGTTTAGGCTATAGGCTATAGCTCATATGGCGTAGGGTGTCTATGCCAGGAAGTAGTATGATTTGGGGTTGTATCCCAATATGCACCCTCAAGCCTTCAGGTTGTAATTACCCACCCTGCAGATTCCTTTAGCGCATGTCCAATACATTTCCACACGTAGCGTCCCTGGACCTTCTTGTGTCAACGCACAATTCAGCTGTCCAGGGCGCCTTCGTGAGGCCGAGGGGATCAAAGAAGCCAAAGGGCGCCTGCAATAACCCTAGAATGTGTTCTTGTTGGAATACAATTAGATTTTTTTTGATATTGGGCCCAGGTATCCATAAAATGTAATTGTTCTACAAGAGCCCAGTACATCCCATGGCAAGCGGGCTTCGAACTAGGGTTTGAGGTTTGGGGGTTCCGGGGCGGAAGTGGAAGAGTTCGGACTCAAAAGTTGTCCTCAGAGGAAAAGGATTCCGCAAACAGGTGCGGAGTCCTTGACTTACCAGGCAGCCGGCTTTCAGGGGAGGTAGCTATTTATTATGTACGGGTACAAGAACATGTTGTGCAACTAGCCGATGCCTGCACTCCGAGCTCGTTCTCGAATGCTCGCAAGGGAGATGCGGTGTAGTTGGCCCAATCTCCCCAGGCGCTGCCAGTGAGACCATCCTATGCATGACACATCATTTATGCAACAACAAATGCAAACATGTACTGGTACCAACATGCAAAACAAGCAAGCACACAAACCGCCTAACAAACAGTTTGTTCTTCTCGCAGCACGCTGAGTGTGCCTACTTCACGAAACAACACCTCCACGAGAGGAACATGTGACTTGTGTGTTACTTTGTGCCTGGAAGAACATGCCGATGATGGCCATCATGGCAAGTCGTCCGTTGGCGATTTCCGCATTGAGCTTTTTAGTCTTCTCCGCAGGGTCGCTGGAAGTGAGGACCTTGAATCCGAAGTCCCCCGCGTAGGCCGCAGTGCCTGGCTCCTGCTGCTGAGACACCTCGCAGAAGGCCATGTAAGCAAGGATCTGGCCCCATCCAGCCTGGG